GGAAATACTCAATACGGCTATGAAGAGCTCTTGCAAAAAAAATCTAACAGAAAAGCGATCTAGTCTCCAGATCTAACTACCAACTTATAGGAATACAGGAGACAGAGCAAAAAGTTAAATAACACTCAGGATACAATCAGCAAGTTCCAAACCATGGAAAACTCTAGAACTATGTGGCTCAGTTTCTTAAACAGAAAGCAGGGCTAGTGGGAGGGATGGTGTACCTAAAAGAAAGTTAAGAAACATATGAACCAAATGTAACGTCTCCTCATTCAAACAAACCAAGTGTAAAAAAAATAAAAATCATGTTGAGAAAATTTGAACATTGACTGGGAATTTAATATTAAGGAATAACTTTAAGTATTATAATAGCATTATGATTATATCATTAAAGGATCTTTTAGAGATACTGAAATATTTATGGTTAAAATAATATGATATCTTGGGTTTACTTGAAAATTCAGGATGAGGAGGAAGTGAGCAAGGTTATAGGTCAGGGATTGGCAGACTATGGCCCAGAGGCCAAATCTGGCCCACCACCTGTTTTGTAAATAAAGTTTTATTGGAACACAGTCACGCACCTTCATTGGTGTGTGGTCTATGGCTGTTTCCCACTACAATGGCAGAGTTGAGTAGTTGTAACTAAGCTGGGTATGGCCCACAATGCCTAAAATATTTACTCTCTGGCTCCATACAGAACAAGCTTGCTGATCCCCGGTAAAGCTGAACCAAGACCGGATATGAGTGGATAATGATGGAAGCTGGGTGATGGATACATGGGGGTTAATTATAGTATTGTTTCCTTTTGTAATTATTTGAAACATCCCATGCTGATGCAAAATAACCAATAACTATTCTACAGATAAGAGAAATAAAAAGTGAGTTTACCTGAGCCAGAGTGAGGATTGTAACCCGGGAAGGCCTTAGAAAGCATTCCGGAGAAGCACGGTTTTCAGTACAGTCATATCGTATTAGAAGAAAGAACATACATTAAACACACCCAGGATACATTTTCAAAGTTCTCAAAGAGGTATTTAGTTGCAAATTAGCAGGTCAACATGACCCTGATGTCGAGAAATGGACTAATCTGGGCATTACCAGTAAAGTGTAGAAGGGAAAGGATGCATTCTTATCTTAAGAGAGTGTACTCTTTAATGGTTAAGCAGACGTACAATGTACGTTTGATAGGCTATAAATCAGGCTTTAGTTCAAGCTGAATCAGTTTTGAACCCAAATAGTTACCCCGTATACCTCAATACGTGAGAATCTCTTGTCAACCATAATAAAAAGTTTTAAAGTAAAAAACAAAAACAGTGCTGATAGCTTTAGGAAGGGCCTTTGACTTGGTCATTGGAGACGGCACCCTGTGCCCCAAGTGCCTCCTACACAACACTCTGCCTCTGAAGACACGCCCAGGGACTGTGAGGGTGGGCAGGGCCGTCCACCTGGAGAACCACCTCACAGTCTGGTACGGCCTTGGCTCGCCTCAGTCGGCTGCGTCCTGACATCCAGAGGACTGCTCACGGGAAGCAGCCTGGGTCTCCTTTGCTTCCTCACTGTCCCTTGAAGGGCCTACTGCATCTAGACAGAAACCTTTTATGCTCAGGGTTAAAGACACTGGACCTCTCCAAGGACTATCTCCATTCCTTGGAAGAATGAGTTGATCCTCTAATGTTATCAAACTATTGACTCTTGGGAGCTCTTAAAATTTACAGAAAGTCTCGGTAAATCCTATATTCCTATACAGATAAGCATACATACACACACACACATATATGTAGATCATGCTACAAAACCACAAAATACCCTCATTCTTCAGATACACTTACCAAATATAGTATTTCCTAGGGAAACATGGAACTAAAGATTTTGTAAGAGCAATTTTAGGTCATTTTAGTTAAACATTTTAAGGATTTTATCTCATTTAATCCTTACAACAAACTATGAGGTCAGTGTCATTATCCTCATTTTATACATGAAAACACTCGGGCTGAGAGAGAGGAAGTAACTTAAACTCACCCTTTCACACTCTAAAAACCACTCTCCTAAACATCATTGGTAGTTTAAACACCGAAATGAACATTTTTATTTCCTTACCATCGTAAGGACCCATTCATAAAGAAGCTCCATATACTTGTCACTGTGATGGGTTCCTCTCATCTCTCCTGAGTTTGACTCCATTCTTGACAAGCACCTTTAGCAGAAATGAAAGTGTGAGGGATCAGAATTGGCCACCCCAAAATGTGTCTCTTTAGCTTGATTATTTTTAAGAACAAATGACTCTGAAAGAAACTTTGACCTTCTCCCTAACTGCCTAAAAGAATTTAAGATAGAAGGCCTGTTCCAGGAAGGAGCTAATACCAGAAGATAACATTGTCTACAGCTGGCCCAACAAACACTTGTTTACCAAACATTTGCTTTCCATCTCCATGTGAACTGCCTTCCTCCTCTTGGAAACCCCAAGCCACTACCCCCAACAACCTCCTTTGTCTTTAGCTGAAGATAATATTTAAGGTGATGATTTCTGCCGTTCTGGCTAGTTACTCAGTTTTCCTGGGTTTCTCCCCTGTATACATGTTATAAAGCTTTGTTTGATTTTCTCTTCTTATTCTGTCTCATGTCAATTTGATTCATAGACCAGCCAGAAGGACCTAGACGGTAGAGGAATTGTCTTCCTCCCCTACAAGATATTTTTGCGTCTGCCAGCTTAAAGGGATAATGTGAAGGAACGGGAAATACTGATAGCAGAAAGAGTAGGTGTCTACCATTTTAAAGAAACATGGGAACTTGTCTCTACAGAAATCTAAAGTACGTAAATCTAAAATATGGCAAATTGAAAATTATTTTGTGTGCACACACACATAATCCCTTCTTTTTTAAGCATGTAGACATGCAGGACTGGCTCTAGGCAAAACTATGAAGATTTTGTGTTGTGCTATAAGTGTTTAACAACTAGCTCTCCCCCCCAAAAATGTGTGTAGATGTTTATTATAAATTTTACTAATATAAAGGATGTGTATCACCCAATTTACAAATAATAGTAAAATAATACACTTTATTGTAAATTCCATATAGTCTATTGATTTTCATGGAATGTTTTCATTGATCTTTGTTTGACTCTAATATCTGTAGCCAATCTATGGCTGCAATTGATAAACAAGTATAGCTCCCACATGAAAGTTGGCTCATATTTTTATTTACATTAAAGAGTAGGACGAAAGTGAAACAATGAAGACATGTCAGACATAATGTGAGTGGCTTCTTTGCTGAATCAGATAATAGTTTTTGAATACTGAAAGACTATTTCTTCAAGTTTTTTGCAATTCACAGTGTAACAGCTACAGACACCACACATTTTTAAGTTTGATTCGCCTTACTAACATTTTCTCCGTCACTTTCTGAAGTCCAAACAACCAACGATGAATTAAGCCTTGATTTGTACTATTTGCCTATTTCCGTGGTATAAATACTCCCACTGTGGTCAACTTCCAACCACCCTCTTGACATCATTAAACCCAGAGTTAAGAAGAGATGCTTGGTAGCATGCCATTATGTAGAATATCTACCAGTCACATACAGTAGACAGGAATAACCTCAAACGCATGAATAACAGTAGAACAATTAGGAAAGGACGAGTTTGTTTTTATAATTTATTTAATGGTACATTTGTATTAGTTTGAACTATATAAAATTGCTGATATGCAACCATTTTTTGACCTACAAAAGTGGTAAGTTCACATGATTCAACCCAAGACATACTCAGGGAGTTTCAGTACGTTTGAGTTTTGAGTTGGAGGTCTGAGTTTGAGCACGTTATGGGAGGGGGTGGATAATGATAATGAAATAACCAGAACCTCTCCTATTTATTGAATACTTTCAAAGCACCAGGCAGGGCGTTAAGCTAAATCGGGTTCTCTGTGATTTTCAATAACTAAAGCAGAATTTACATTGATTCAGTCTTAGCCAGCTTCTCCCAAACAGTTTGGAAATACTAAGACAGAGACTGGAGAATTTCTGGCATTTTAACTTCAATGAAGAATTTCATACAATATATATAAAAGTGAAACGCTATATGTGTAAAATAGCGTTCAGGATACTTGACACAATTTTTGAGCTAAGTATAGGAGAGAACAAGCCCTCCTTTTTGGAGCAGGAAACTCAACAATTCAGTCCTGGCCTAATTAAATACTTACTATGCTACTAGCTGTGCATTTTGAGCTGCCTCACAGCTTCTGAGACCTGGTTCCTCATCTATGATTCAGGTAGTAATATTATTTGTTCAGATACATGTCTCAGAGTAATCGCGAGATTCAAATGGGAAAAAGAAAATGAAGAGTGACTTGGAAATGGTCCAATTTTGCAAAGGTGGCTTATTATTACAGAATCACAGCGCCGTCCGCCTGCCTCCGGGATTGTTTTCTGGGCTCTGACCCCAGACGCGGGGGGAAGCAGCTACCGGCCTGTGGCAATGTTAGGACATTACTAACCATTTGTTGTGCAAATAACTGTGTGGCTAAATCAGCTTCTCAGGATTCTTCAACTTGCCTGCTGGCACGCATTTGATCTATTTACATAAATTAAAAAAAAAAAACTCTCTTTCTTCGTATTAATAGTCCTCGGAAAATTTAGGACCAATGCGATTTGCAGCTGGAAGGTCAGACGGGGGAGGAATGTTGACAAAACAGCGACGTTTCAGGTCTTCCACCGCAAAGCTGGAGGGGCCGCCGCTCCGGGAGGGAGAGCCCCTGACCTTCCCTCTGACCCTCGGCTCTCCTTGCCCCAGGGCTGCCTTGCCTTCTGGTTTACGGGGGCGGTGGGGCTGATTCACTGTTGCTGGGCAAACAGGGCTGAGCCCCGTGTGGAAAGCCACTGAAACCGGAGGAAACCAGTCATGCAAACCCTGACTGTCAGCTGATGGAGGGCTCCCTCATAAGCCCTGGGGACGGCCGGCGTTTGCCCAGACCGGCGCAAGCCTTGGGGGCCTGAGCGGGACACAGCTGCTGCAGCGCAGACCGGCCGCGACCCCTCTGTCCCCATGCTGGAGGGCGCCGAGCTGCACTTCAACGCGGACCACGGCTACCTGGAGGGCCTGGTGCGGGGCTGCAAGGCCGGCCTGCTGACCCGGCAGGACTACGCCAACCTGGCCCAGTGCGAGACCCTGGAGGGTAAGTGCCGCCCCTCGCACGTCTGAAAAGGAAAAGGAGACGGTGGAGAAGGGACTGTGTTCCCACGGCCTCCGAGTCCAGAGCAGGTCTTATTCCTGGAGTCCACCCTTCAGGGACTCAAGTTCCATGAGCTTGGTGGTGGAAAAAAATTACCTGCCTGCTTTGGGCATTCTCTAAGTGGAATTGAGCATTTCCTTTCATCATGAAGGTAGGCAACACATCACAGTGGTTGGTACTTTGTCACCAATAGACATTCAGTATTTTCACATCCTGTCCCAGTTCTTGGAGATACCCTGAAATATCCTTTCTGTTTTCACTATTTCAAAATTACACTAGTAAGGCATTTCTTCTTTAATCTTGATCTTTAATGTCTTGAAGTACAGTATTGCCCATTTTAAAAATATTTTGATAACTGTATTTTAATGTGTTTGATTTTCTTTGTTATCTTATATATTTTCTTTTCCTTTTTTCTCCCCAAAGCCCCAGTAGATAGTTGTATGTCATAGCTGCACATCCTTCTAGTTGCTGTATGTGGGACGCGGCCTCAGCATGGCCGGAGAAGTGGTGCGTGGGTGCGCGCTCAGGATCCGAACCTGGGGCACCAGTGTGGGAGCGCGCAGTTAACTGCTAAGCCACGGGGCCGGCCCCCTATATTTTCATACTACATATTTATAAATATTATTTGTAGAAGAACTGCACCAAACTGCCCAGGGGTCTATGGAAGAAAAAAAAAAGCTAAGAACCTAGTCTAGAGAAATTTATTCTATCACTAGTTTCTCAGTGTCTATTAGTTTGAGAGTTTATTTGTGGTTTGTCTTTAACTGAAGCTTAAGAAAAAAATCAAGAGACAGGCCTGTGGTGAGGCCAGCCCTGGATTCAAAGTCCTGACTTTGGCCTTTGCGGGGTCAGGTAGGTGGCCTGGGCTCAAAGCCTCTGAGCCTCAGATGCCTTGTTTGTAAAATGCAGTGGTAACACCGGCTTTGCCGAGTTGTTTGGAGAAATAAATGAGATAATACAGGAGAGAATAAGTTAAGAACTTCGAAGCACTTCACAAATGGAAATTATCTTTTTTTAACCACTTTATTGTGGTGTGATTGACATACAATAAACTGCACAGTGTGTACAACTTGATGAGTCCAGAGATAAGTATACACTTGTGAAGCCATCACCACAATCTATGCCCTAAACCTGTTCATCGCCTCCAAAACTCTCCTCCTGCCTCTTGTTTATTATCATTATTTGTGTGTGTGTGTGTGTGTGTGTGTGTGTGCAGGAGAGAGAAGGATGCTTCACCTAAGATCTACCCTCTTAGCAAATTTTTAGGCATACAATACAATATCGTTAACCACAGACACTACTGCACAGTAGATCCCTAGGACTTATTCATCTTATGCAACTAAAACTGTTTACCCTTTGACTAACACCTCCCCATTTCCCCTTCTTTTCTGGAAATTAACTTTAAGCCACAGTATTTTCAAAACCTTACCAAAGCCTTCACACCTATAATATGGTATTTTTATTATTAAAAACAGCTACACTCACTCATTTTGAAATGTGCTTGTAAACTCACTATATGTCAATAATAAGATGCTTTAAAACTTCCAGATTATTCTAGAAAAAGACAGAAAGTAATAAGGATCAAGACTGCTAGGAAGAGTATTAGAAGGCCAAACAAGCAAAACAAAAACTTCTGAAGGTGACTTTGCAGGCTTCTCAAGTAGGACAAGGGTCCTGAGGTCGCTTGTTTATGGTTCTGCCAGTTGAAGCCAGAGTGAAGGCAAAACCATCCAAGCTGAGGTAGACCCTCTCCTTTCTTTAGAAAAGGAAGCAGCTAGAAAAATCTTTCAGATGATAACTAATTCTGTTAGCTACAAATAATGACAGTATAATCCCAAATCCGAAATCATTTCAGCGTGTTACATTAGGAGTTTGGTGACTGGGGAATGTTAATCATGTATAGAAAACCTGCAAAAATTGAGGTAGAAAAATTAAAGAATACAAGGCAGAATCAATGCTTCTTGAATGAGGAGAAGCCATTTGAATGACTTCTATATAGTTTTCAGTCAAGCTTTTAAATGGACTGTGGAATACAAAGTACACACAGACAATACATCAGATATCTTCATAATACAAAGCAAGGTTTAGCCAGCTCACTAAAGAGTTCGGAGAGAAACCATGGGCAGCCATTCTAAAGCCATGTGAAGAATTCTAGAGAATAAAAAGGTGAAAAAGATAAAAATCAGGAATTTGAAAGCCATTCCCAAATATTTTCTGCCAGGGTCCCTTTTGACCAATAATTCAGTTAAGGGAGGAGGAAAGAGAAGAGATGGAAGGAATGAGGTGAACAGATCCATCATCTAAATAGGAACTTAGCTGAATTTGGTACCCTCAGCTTCAATTTGGGGGAGAAGGAAAGGTTTCAGACCTTTTTGAAGACCTGGAGAATGAACCTTCTTAGAAAAATACACACAGGTGCATACAAACAGAATTTGCCATATAATATCAGGGGTTCATGGACTACCCAAAGCCATCCCTGCACCCTGGTTAAGAAACCCTGCCATATACACCATTGGTGTATTATCATTGTATCTCATGGTTTCTCCCTTTCTCTCCTCCCAATAATGTATTTTTTTCAGCTACTGGTTTCACAACTAAGTTTGAATCTGTGTGCCTGTCTACTGTTTGGGGACTCCCAGGAATATCAAGTATGAGTCATCAAACAATGGATTATAATGGCTGCAGAGAAAATAAATCTAAATAAGGATTTCATGTCCTCTGTTAATGGTTGAGGACACTGAGGCTTAGAATGGCTGTGACCAATCTCACAGGCTGCCAGCAATGGAGGATAGAGATAACGGCATCTCTTTTTCCACTAAAATGTCTCTGCCTCTTGAGTATGAATTGAAGATATATGAATAGGTCCATGTTGATGTCAGCTCCATTTTGATATAGAAAATAAGAAGGTCTGCGCTACCTAATTATTTCATAGCATGTTGTGGAAAGCAATGCAGCTGTTGTGTCTGAAATGCGCTTAAAGAGACCCAGCCACCTTCTGAGCTGGGCTTAGTGTTGAAGAGGAGAAATCAAGGACATTTATTGGCGTAGAAGTTAAGGACTTTGGGATTTCTGTTTACTTTTGCACAAGATATGCACTATACCAATTATGGATAAAGAAGTGTAGGTAAAACAGTGTCATTATAGCACTATATGTTGAACCAGGCACTTTCTGTGAAAGAAAAGCTAACTTGGCAAAGATTAAAGATTCCTTTAAGGAACACATAAGGTTTCAGCTAAATTTGGAAGAGAGAAAACAAAGATTGTCCAAAAAAGCTTTGGAAAGTCCAAGTATTCATAATTGGCTTAACTGTGTGCATAATTGTGCCCGTGTGATCAGAAATACTCATCTATTCCAAGACCTGCCCTTGAGTAACAGTGACTTGAGACAGTCGCTAGTACCGTCTGTGACTCAGTCCTTCCCAGAGACAAAAGAGGGAAGCTAGTTCACATGGCCTATGCCACTGGTACTGCTGTATAGAAACTTTAGTCTTTAAAAGTGACTTTGCACAAAAATGATAATGTTAAAGAGGCATAAAATATTCTTTTAAAGAATTAATGCTGTTATTTTTTTTATTAAGACTATTTTTTTAGAGCAGCTTTTAGGTTCACAGCAAAATTGAGGAGAAGGTACAGAATTTCCTATATATCCTCTGCCCCCACACATGCGTAGCTTCCCACTACAGTTGTACATTTGTTACGATCAATGAACCTACATGGACACATCATTATCACCCAGAGTCCATAGTTTACATTACAGTTCTCTTATTGTACATTCTGTGGGTTTGGACAAATGTATAATGACATGTACTCATCATTGTGGTAACATACAGGGTATCTTCGCTGCCCTAAAAATCCTCTGTGTTCCGCCTGTTCTTCCCTCCCTCCACCCCCACTTCTGGCAACCACTGATCTCTTTACTGTCTCCAAAGTTTTGCCTTTTCCCGAATGGCATATCGTTGGGATCATACAGTGTGTAGCCTTTTCAGAGTGGCTTCTTTCACTTAGTCACATGCATTTAAGGCTCCTCCATATCCTTCCATAGCAACACTGCTATTTTCATCAGAATTGTTTTTAATTACAAATAAGACTACTGTAAATATTCTTTCCTCTTCAAAAAAAGACAAGGTGGTAAAATTAATACTCTAGAGCTCTAGAATTTACTAATAAATGTTCTTTTCTAAAGTATAGGGTGAAAGTGTCCACTAGCTCTCAGAGTGAGATGAGAATACGCTGGGTTGAGCCTTTATTTGCCCTCTCTGCTCTAATTTTTTAGAAGAGAACGAGGGGAGCTGATTTATCTCACTAGCAATTACGTCCCTTTCAAGGGACATGATCTTCATTCCCCTCCAGCTGTGCCTTCAAGTGGTAATTAATTCAACGACCATATGTTAAGCACTTTCTAGCTAGAGCCAAGGAAGGAAAGATGAATAAGATATAGTCCCTGCCCTAGAAAGGCTCCCACTCTAGAGAATAAAAATATTGGAAAACTAGGAGCCCTTCACTGGGGCAATGGGGCAGCACCTATCAAAATTCCAAATGCATATACACTTGGCCTGGGACTTCATGTAGCCTTGTTTGGAAGAGCAAAAATGGAAACAAATCCAATGTCCATCTGTAGGGAACTGGTTAAATAAATTAGGGAACATTCACATAATGGGACATTCTGCAGCCATAAAAAAAGAAAAACATGAGCCTGCCATTTAAGAGAACTGATAGGGAAAGATGGCCAAGATATAGTAAGTGAGTAAAGTAAGGAGAAGAACTATGTGTGGCGAGGTACTCTTTAATAAAAAAGATGAATAAATTTTAAAATATATCTTCTGTATTATTGTCTAGATACAAAGAAACTGTGAAAAGATCCAAAAGAAACTAAAAACAGTAGTTACCTGGGGCTAGGAATGAGTGAGTGGGGGAGATGGAGTGGGTGACAGATGTAGGAGACC